GTGAACATATGTATACATTTCTGTCATAAAAAAAAAATACACTTAGAGTGCAATGCTAGCTAGTAGATACTGTCAAAACAGCTTTCCAGAGTGATGATAGCAGTGTTCACTTTTTAATTTTTTAACGTTATTTATTTTTGAGACAGAGAGGCAGAGCATGAACAGGGGAGGGGCAGAGAGAGAGGGAGACACAGAATCTGAAACAGGCTCCAGGCTCCAAGCTGTCAGCACAGGAGAGCCTGACGCGGGGCTCGAACTCACGGACTGGATCAGAGATCATGACCTGAGTCAGCAGTCGGTGTGGCTCCGACCGAAGCCACCAGGCTTCCATGGTGTTCACTTTTAAAACAATCTGTGACACAGGGCACTATGACCTCCTTCCAGACACACACATTAGGAAGCATGGGTCTGTGCCAGGCACTGAATGAGCTACTTGAAGGCCATGGGTGAAGTGCCATGCCACAGTCCTGGCCCTGTGTGCCCTGAAATCTATCTCCTCTTCATCCCTCTCCTTTCTCCTTCCCCTTGAATGTGTTGTGAGGGGAGGGCAGGGGTAACCTAGGGAGACTTTCAAGCTACATTCCCCAGGCTCCTGTGTCAGCTGGTGGGCCCTGGATGGAGCTCAGCAGACAGAGAAAGGAAAAAAACTGGGGGATGGGGCTTTCTGGCTCTCTGTCTGGTTGTGGCTGCATCTCTTCCATGAGGCTCCAGCTCCCCACAAGACAGGCCTGTTGTGGTTCCGCTTCCTCAGGTGACCCTGGCCTTTGGCTGAGCTCCAGTGACGCCACCTGCTCCCTTGCCCCTCCAGCTGACAGGTAGCCATGACTTTTACACTTGGTGTCATAACTCCTCCCCCTCTTCCACCCCAATTCATGCATCCAATCAATTCCCTGTAATCATACTGCTTAGATGCTTTAGAATGATTTCCTTTTCCAGGTTGGACCCTGACTGACCCTGGCAGAGACCTCAGGGTAAAATGACAGTCTTATTCACCAAGTCTAATAGCTGCTGGTAGCAGATGAGACATGTAGGTGGGGGTGGCCATTGCACCTAGGTTGCCTGGGTAGTCATCAGGACTTTCACCAGGAGGACTTTCATCAGATAGGCAGCTGCTCCTCCCGGAGCAAGGAGCAGTGTTGGCATGCCCACCTCAGTGCCCTGCTAGCCAAGGCCACTCCTTCCAGGCATCCTCTGTCTGGTTCTATGGAACTGGAGGTCTGTGGCTGGTCTCAGCATGAGCTGCCCGTGGTGGCTGTTTGCCTTTGTGGGGAGTAGACTCAGACTGAAGAATGGCATCTTAGATTTCATGGCATCTCGCCTTATGCACAGTAAATACTAATAAATTCACACATGAGCATTTACTATGTGCAGGCATGATTCCGAGCACTTGACAGGTCTTGTAAGACATGTTATTACGATCCCATTTTACAGATAGAAATTGGAAGCATAGGAGCTAAAGTAACTGATTTTCCACTGATGTTTGTTGATGACAATAGCATCAATAATTAGTGTGGCAGAGTGCAGTGCTTAAAAACACTGGCCTTGGTGGATGCCTGGTGGTATCTGACTCAGTCGGGGTAAATAATGATTTGTAGTTCTCATGGTCAAGCCCAACATCGGGCTCTGTGCTAACAGCACTGAACCTGCTTGAGATTCTCTCCTTCTCTCTGCCGCCTCCCAACTTTTGCATGCACACATGTGCATGTGCTCTCGCTTCTCTCTCTCTCTCTCAAAATAAATAAACTTTAAAAAGAAACAAAAAAAAACCTCACTGGCCTTGGAATTAAAAGACGATGGTTTGAATCTAGATTCTGCCTCCTGCTTATTTGTGATTTTCCTCTGTTTCCTTTCAAGTAAAACAAGGTTAATGATGCCCACCTCCCTGATTCCTGAGCAGATTAATAATGAGTGAGCATCAGTGGTAGTAGAGCTTGCAAAATTCAAACATGTATGTTTATGTATACATATATAATGCAAAATTATACTTTTATTATGTATATATACAATTCAGGGTTTTTGCAATCATATGCTTATTTATGAGTAGTGTAACTGCCTGTAAACAAGTTATGATCTTCAGATTTAACAAGCCAATGATTAACTTATTTTATCTGATAAAATAATATATATAATGAATTTGCTTATATGTTATCCAGACACTAGCCTCAGATCATAAATTACCCCTTTTGGGGTCACATTATGTCCAATCCAAGAGGTGTATTTTTAATACTGTGCTATCTAAAATTTTTATTTTGAAATAATTTCAGGTTGCAAAATATAATAAAGAATTAATGGACACCTTTACACAGATGCCACATTCCCCATAGGTTAATATTTGTGACATTTGCTTTTATCATTCTCTTTATTATATGTATATACACATATATATACATATATATGTACACACATATATATATATATACAATTGACGTGTGATGTGTGTGTGTGTGTGTGTATGTATAGGGTGTTCATCTATCCTTATCCAAATGTTTCCTTTTTTCTTAAACATTTGAGAGGAGTTGCAGATCTGATGTGCCCTTATCCTAAATACTTCAGTGTGAAATTTCCTAAAAGCAAGAACATTTTCTTGTAAGATTATGAAAATCAAGACATAAACATTGATTTAATATTGATATCTAACATAGAGATCAACCTAAATTTTCTCAGTTGTCCCACTAATGCCTTTATAGCAAAATAGCAACATGAATTTTCTGGTCCAGATGCAAGGTAATGGCCACATGATTTAGGTTTCCGATCTGAAACAGTATCTTAGTCTTTGTCTTTCCTGACCTTGACATTTGTGAGGAATAAAGGCTGGTTAGTTTGAACAGTGCTCCCACAATTTGGGTTTGTCGTATGTTACAGTTGTGATTGCATTGCAGTTCTGCATCTTGGGCAAGAGTATCACAGAAGTGATGTGTCATTCTCAGGGCAACTTGTCAGGGAGGCATTTGATATTCATCTGGTTTTAACTTTGATCACTTGGTTAAGGTGGTGCCTGCCAAGTTTCTTGAGTATAAAATTAGTGTTTTTCCTTCTTTGTTTATAAGTATCTTGTGGGGAGATACTTTAAGTCTATATAAATATCCTGTTTCCCATCAGACCTCACCCACCAGTTTTAGTATTCATTGGTACTCTTGCCTAGATAGATTGTTACTATGACAGCTGCCAAAATGGTATTTTTCTAAATCCACTTCCTTTATGTCTATTAGTCTGGATTCTACTTTATTTACTTACATCAATATGGACTCATGGATTCTTATTTTATTCTAGGAGTTGTACCCTTACTATCATTCTTTGATTTGATGCTTAAATTACACCAACTTTGGCCAGCCAATGGGAACTCCTTAAAGCTGGCTACTTTGTCCTTTGACATGTTTCCACCATTTTGTTGTTTTCTTACTTTCGGAAAACTAGATGTTCATATATATTTCCCTTACTCAAATCTGGAATCAGCCATTTCTCAAACAACCTAGTTTATTTTAGTGGAGAATTTAAACCTTAACTTTAAAAATAATGATGAAGGAAAGGAAGAAGGAAGAGGTGGAAGAGAAGGTGAAATGCCCAACAAGGGGGGGCAGGAGGTTTACAAATATTATATGCTGTATGTTTTGAGTGTTTACATTTAACAAATCAATTGTTTTATTTATTTTTAAATGATTTTAAATTTTTTTTTTTTTTTTTTTTTTTTTTTTTGGGACAGAGAGAGAAGAGCATGAACGAGGAGGGCAGAGGAGACACAGAATCGGAAACAGGCTCCAGGCTCCGCATCAGCCAGAGTCCTGACGGGCCTGAACTCACGGACTGCCAGTCGTGACCTGGCTGAAGTCGGACTCAACGACTATCACTGGCGCCACCCGGCCAGGCTTCCTCAATCTTTTTTTAAAAATGTTTATTTATTTATTTTTGAGGTGGGGGGCGGGGGCAGAGAGAGAGAGGGAGAGATTGAATCCCAAGCAGTCTCTACGCTGCCAGCTGTGGGGCTTGAACTCACCGACGGTGAGTGAGATCATGACCTGAGTCAAGATCAAGAGTCGGATGCTTATGGAAACCAATTTGACAATAAATTTCATATATAAATAAAAAAAATAAATAAATAAAACAAAAAAAAAAAAAAAAAAAAAAGAGTCGGATGCTTAACCAACTGAGCGACCCAGGTGTCCCTAAATCAATAGTTTTAAAACCAAAAGTATGATGCAAATATAACTGTGCTCCTCATAAGATAGTTATACCAAAAGTCTGCTTTTGAGGTTCTCCTGAATGTGGGTCCAAATCATCTCCCTGCCTCCCCAGCACACTCCATAATGCCCTATGCCAATAGTGCTTAAATGGGGAGGGGCAGGGAAATCCACAACGTGATGGTGAATCTCAGGGAGCTTAGGTCTTTCTTCTCAGAATTGACCTCAGCCCCCAACCCCTAGAGCGACTGTGCTAATATCTGTTTTATATATGAATAGATTGGGATTTTACTCAGTTTTATTTGAGGAAGCTTTAGGGCAGTGGGGTGGGAAAGGTGGTTAAGGTGAGCCAGGCTATTTGATTTCAAATCCTAGCTCTGGTGAGTGACTTAACTGCTCTAGGCCTCAGTTGCATCATCTGTCAAATGGGGATGTTTTGCCCCCAGAGCCTTTTTTTTTTTTTTTTAACGTTTTTTATTTATTTTTTTTGGGACAGAGAGAGACAGAGCGTGAATGGGGGAGGGGCAGAGAGAGAGGGAGACACAGAATCGGAAACAGGCTCCAGGCTCCGAGCCATCAGCCGAGAGCCTGACGCGGGGCTCGAACTCACGGACCGCGAGATCGTGACCTGGCTGAAGTCGGACGCTTAACCGACTGCGCCACCTAGGCGCCCCCCCCAGAGCCTTTTGGAGAGGGTGACACTGATATATGTCAAGCACAGGGAGCAGCAGCTGGCATGTGAGAGTTTTGTGCTGGTGTCCTGACTTCTGAATGAGTCCGCTGCCTTTAGAGACGTCTTTCCAGTCTACATGCACCACTAAAATTGGGCCCTCAGGATTCCACCTGCCCTCAAGGATTGGTGCCCACAAACTACAAATCATGGCCCACTCCAGCCCATCTTCAGTCCTGGTCACCTGCAGGCACCTGTGCCCCAGACACCTTTCATTCACCTTTCACCTTTCACCTGTGTCACTCAGGACCCTTTCCAGTGCAAGTGACAGAATCCTGACTCCTACCAGGTTACACAAAGTAAGGACCCATCATCTCCAAGGGTCCTTTCTCGACCTTTAGGCACGGCTGGATCCAGGGGTAAAATTACTCCACCAACCCCCTCAATCTCTTCTGGACTCAGTTTTCCTCTGTATTGGCTTCACTTTTATGGGGCAGCAAGATGACCAATGGCCCCAGCCTCACATCCTACCAGCTGAGCGACCCCAGGAAAGAGAATGTCTTTCCTAGTAGCTTTAGCAAAGGTCCTAAGGGCTGATGCCTATTGGCTTGTTGGGGTTACATGCTGTGTTAGGTCTCTCCTATTTGCCCCTCCATGGCCTCTCTCCACCTCTGTGCCTTGGGAGCCCAACCCATGCAGATCACAAAAACAGACACTCTTGCCTTCTGGGTTTAGGTTGTGCTCAGCAAATGGGAGGCACATGTAAGAGACTGGAGGGTAGGAAGAGGTTACCGTCAGGGTGTGGATTTTGCCCCTCTTTCCCTCCCAAGTTGCTATGAACTGTCTGTGTCCACTGAAGGTCCCATCTCCTGCCAAGGGACATTTTCCATATAACACCATTCCTCGTGGACCCAGTAATCAATTATTCCCTCTCCTTACCTCTCTAGTCTAGGAGGGATGATGGCTCCTA